ATAGCAGGTACGGATATTGCCTGGTACTTGGTACATAATTCAAAATATATGAAAAAGATTAAACGGTATTGAAGCGACAACGGATTTTCAGTCTAGGCTAAAAATTCAGCACCACAAACAAAGAAAAAATTTCAATCAAAAACATACGTTGATTTTTATGAAGGAAATTCCTCATTACGTGACACATTCTGAAGTACTTGCAGACTCTCCATTCAATTAACAAGTAGCACGAGGATGGCCTACAAATTAATAACATGTGCAAATTCTGAAGGTAAACTCAATTTCTTTAGTGTGGAGGAGTCTCCTTTTTGATTTCAAGATCTTCTATGTCGATTTCCATTCGGGCGATACGAAAATTTCCCAACAGCGAATGTGACGATTGAATCTAAATTTGTGAAATTTACTGTTTACAGCATGAGAATCTTCGTTCACATGAAAAACCAGCAAGGAAAGCCAAATAAATCTTATTTTAATAGACTATATACTTCGATTACTTCGGAAGTTGTCAACAAATTATCAAGGACCGGCATCGTAGACTACAAGCTCGAAAATTTGACACTTTTGAATTGCCAATCCATAAGCAATTTACTCACCAAAAATGTGAGGACTAGCTATTGGAAAGCTGGAATGCTGGTCAGAAACCCATCAGTGAAGGTTTCCCCTCTTCTCTGCTTACTTTGACTTATTATCAGCAAATTTCACTTGTATCAGTGCATCAAAACCATTTTATTTCAGTTTTTTACTTTTTAATTCAATTTATTGGATTTGTTTACAAATTATGTTTTCAAATTTTAAACGTTCATTTTGGCTGGTTCATTTTTAGAGAGATGAATTTCTTGTTTTCTTGTAAATTCTGATTTCTCTTGAAATGTATCTTGCATAAAAATAAAACATATCGTAAAACTAGGAACGAGATATCTCCTTGAAAACATGTTCCCAGCTGATTGCCCACATTACTCATTTCCACTGCGCTTTATTTCTGTTCTTCATTTGTTTTCTGATCGTAACTAACAATAAAGGACCCTGGAGTTTATAGAAATACAATTGTCACAGAGCTGGAAAGAGAGATCTGGCAAGCGAAGCAGAAGATACTCTCAGTCGCAGGGCCGAGGTTATCTCATAGCACGACACAGCGCCATGATGGGTGGACAAAGCAGGGAAGAGATCAGACACACAAAAAGCAAGCCATGAAAAGGGAAGAAAAATGCGAACATACGTAGCAGGGTTGATTCATAAGTTTCGAAAATTTTGGAAGTATATTTCAACAGAGTTTATACAATTCCAAATATTCGTTAAAACCTTCATATAGTCCCATCATTTGGCAACACTTCAATAATGTTCAACGAATTCCCGACCGATTTGAATGCATTTTTTTCATGCGATAAACCGATGATCAAAACAGTACCAAAAGTGTTTAATTGTGTCAGTTCATCAAGCTGAAAATGTTGGCCCTCTTTTTTATCATGGGTTCATCGCGTGAAAAATGTATTGAAATCGGCTGAGAATATTTTAAACAGCTCTGAAGTATTGCCAAACGCTGGATCTATGTAAGTATAAATAAAGATTCGGAAATGTTGAAACTCTGTTGAATCTATCGCAAAAATTCTCATAACTTTTGAACCATCCATCGTAAATTGCACCGATGAGGGGTTTGTATGCGAGCAAGTACACAAGTGACAATAATAACGTATGTATAGACGGGGGTGAACAATAATAATAATAAAAAACATATAAAAAGGACAATATAATGCTGCAGTCTCTGGTGCCCCTTACCTCAGCTGGCACAGAGAAATATGCTCGGGTCCGCAGTAATATGGCTACATGTTTTCACAGTCCCCGTGCCCGCGACACCGTCGGATCTCCGAGCAATGGTCCTTGATACAAACCAGGCCCAACCCTTTTCTTCCCTCTCTGATTCGCGGCCGCCTTTTTTCGTCTTTCTCTACTGCACGCATCGATTTCACCGACCTCCAGTTGTTGAGAAATATATGTGTTTTATTACAAGTGTATATAAATATATATATATATATACAGTATACGTGCAAGAAAAAATAAGGCTGGTGGGGGAGGGGATCCATATTTGTACAGTATGGTACAGTACAGTATTTCCTTTTTTCGCGCACAATTGCCGACTTCAACCGACCGAAAAAATATGTTCGTATAACACGTCCTTCCTTCGTCCGTGTTCCAAGGCTAAGCAACTTGTTTCCATTATATCAACCGAATGCAGAATTACGTTTGTGTGTTCCACTAAGTCAACGTGAAAAGTTGGATGCTAATCTTTGCGACGGATTTCTTCCTTGTTCGTAATTTCAGCACGAAGCACGGAAAGTCTTCGAATATTCTTTTTTAGAAGCGAGAGAGTTACGACATTTTTTCAAGTGAATAGTTGTATCTCACAAAAAATCCTGAGAGAATTAATTTTGCAGAGAGTATCTGCTACTGAAATCGAACCAGAAAAATTTATAAATTATGCGGCGACTTTCATGGATAAATAAAGCTGCATGTTGTTTTCCTGAAATATTTCCAATAAATTACTGAATTTTAATGGATCGATTTATTTCGAAGATGAGCTGATTTATTTAAGATACATACTCCGGGAAAAATTTCAAAGAAGGCCTTGCCATTGAGAAAAAAATGAATTTAGGGCTTCTCTCAATATTATTTAGCATATTCCTGAAAGTTCAAAGTTATTTTCAAGCTTATTAAAATGTATACTCTTTTGTGTGTTGGCATGTACTTGAGTTTTGGGAAAGAATATTTTCCGAGTTCGTGTCGCAGTCGATTTATGATACGAAAACGTTTTCAAGCTCAAATTTTTTATTGTTGGAAACGTTTGTTGAACACTCGAGCGAATCTTCGCAGTGCAGCAGTTACCATCATGTGTCAAATATCGTGTATAGAAAGTTTTTGCTTTCGTAAAATTCGACAGAATATTCACCGCACCCAAGGTCAACGATTCGGGTTCCCCTGCAAGCGAACCATGGACACCGCGCAAATACTCACTATTCTCAAACTCACTGGGTAAAAAAACGGATACAACAGTAAAGGTTTGAAATTTCAGCACGAACCGCGAGTTATAAGAAAACGGAAGTAAGGCTCGAAGAAGAAGCGGACTACAGTATTTCTGACTGACTCTATGAACCTCGAGGCCTCTTTCCAGACTGAGAAGAAAAGGGGTTCGTTGGGGGAAAGCAGCGGCCTTACTGAGCACCAGGGCACTAGCAGCAGCGGGACAGGGGCCACGCTGCTGGAACCCTGGTGTATTTTGTGCCAGCGGGGTTCATGCGCCTTAGGACGTCTTCGACGCCCCCGACGCTGTGCCACGACACCCGACTTTGCAGAACCCCCGAAAAGCTTCACTTCAGACACAGTGTGCACTTCCAGAGATTTTTCGGGTGTTTTTTTTTTTTTATTTCGTTCACAGCATTGTGTCAACAACAATGCACAAGATTCCCGTGAAGGAATCCCCCAAGAAATAAAAATATCAGTGTGCGTAATACAATTTTACAGTGGCATCATATATTTGATATTGTCTTGATTCTGAAGCGAGGAAATGTACGGTTAAATCTGCATAACATATTTTTACGGTTTGAAACGGTCTAAAATTATAATTATTAGAAACAGCAACAGGACTTACATGAGTGACATCAGCGGACTCGTCTGATTCACAATTGAAGTAACACATTTCAACACAATAAGTGTATCTTATGCATGCAGACAAACCTCATTCCATTTTTGAAAATTAATAAACATAATAATCAATAGTTTCTTAGGCATTCGACAAGAAACCAAAATTTAACTCCTGCTAATCGCTGCTGACAGAAACCTGCTGTAAGTAAACAATAAATTGATTCGGACTTTAGTCGGAGTAACACTCGAAAAAAGAAAACAAAAATATTGCGGAACAAAGACACGAAGAAGAATATAATTAGGGTTATCATTCAGGGTCGCTGTAAAGTCAAGAAAAATTTTTAATAGATGCTCGTCTTGATGCTTTCATTCCCGAGAGCAGATTTATGTATCACCTGAATAACAATTAATTGTTCAACACCTCTTGCATATCGTCACGCATAATTATTTTTCTAACCGGACGAACTGTGAACGCTTTTTCACTAGCATTGAGAGTGTTTTTTTTATGACTTACGTAGGTCAGTTGCAAATTCTTCGAATTCTTTCATCATCAAATTCAAGTTTTAAGCGGTTTTGCAAAATGAAGGATCGGGTTCTCGTATGATGTAGACTTGCAGAGGAAAGCTTTTATTGATTGCATTTCACGAATTAAAATTTATTCAACTCACATTCAGTGTTCAGAGTTTCTTATCGCTCAAATTGAAATCGAAATATAAGCCTCTAAAATGAAGAAAAAAAGGTGCATCCTCACTGAAGAAAGTAGAATTTGCTTTCAGCACTCGCACATTTTATTAATTTTTAGACAATCCTCGTGCTGCTTGTTTCATTGGTTGGAGAGTCTGCAAGCTCTTATTCTCAATGTTTCTAGTACAATGAAAAAGCTCCTCTGAGAAAAATAAAATATTCCTTAGATTTAAATTTGTTCTGCGTTGTTGCTGCTGAGTTTTGAGCAGTCACAGCAATCAAAAGTCTAGACTGAAATCCATTGTTGCCTCAAAACCCCGTACTTTTCATCAAAAATTCATGAGAATTGATTATTTTATTCACGATGATCGTTGGGAAGTATTTAATTCCTCATCATCGAATTTTGCACGACGTCATATACTTACCTGATGAAAAGCAAATCCTTTTCAAAGATGACGTCAATTCTCCCGTATTGACTCTGATTCGTTTCATATTTGTAGTAGAGGAAAGCTGGGATTGAATGTTTCCCTGGGAATTCGCGTGTCGAGGCCATGGCATCGCGTCGTTCGACGTGGCCCCCCTCTCTCGACAGTAGCCCCCGTGGCACGCAACTGCTCACCCTCCTTCCACCAGTGCCATAGTGGCGTCCTCCTCGCCGCCGGGGCTTCACCGTCGATCAGCATTCAATGACGTCCGGCAAGCCCTTTGTCAGGGCTCGACGGGCCGGGAGCCCCGGCTCCACCTTCGAGCGGCGACCCTGTACATATGTCGACGTCGTCGTCGTCGTCGTCCCTCCCGCCGGCGACTAAACCGATACACACCACGACCGCCTCTTACGCACTGTCGTGAAGGGACGTGACTACAGTTGAGCGGCGCCGGGGCGGCCTAGCTTCGGAGTTGGACGCGTAATTCGCATTCCTTTTTTTTTTTTTTTTTTGCTTCCACAGCGTCGATTGTTTTCGATTGAGGTGCCGGGACAAGTGAGCGCTATATACAGAAGTACCGTAATTTTCAGTGCAAGGAGCAGCAGGCAATTCGAACTCATGGAAAAAGTTTCTTAATAACAATTCCAGTTCATTTATTTTTTTTAGTAAGACATTCGTAGAAACTGGAGAATTTTCTTTTGGTACTAAATCTCGGTTTTTTTGTGTGCAATTCGCACAGACGTCGGCTTGAAGCTTTTGCCGTGACGCAATTTGCGCAAAAGTAGACCTATAGACATCACATTTTGGAAGCATTGAAAAATCTCCAATTTAAAAATACTTTTTCATACGCAAGGATTTCATATAAAATATATTCAGGGTAATGGCGATGTAACCCAGCAAATTTCTGAGGATTCCAGAAATTTTATTCAACAGAAAATTGTATACAGTGCCTGAGAATGTTATATGAAGTGACGATGTATAACACCGCTGAAAAAAACCAAAAAAATCACTTCAACCTGAGCCACTTAGAACAAATCAAAATGATTAAACGAAATGGAAAAGTTTTCTTGTAGGATAATACGCATCTCACATTAGTGGAGTGAAATATATATAGGAAATTTCTCCGGTAAGATTCCGCTAGAATATTTGTATGATTGTGAATAACTTCAGGAAAGTCATGAAAAAGTTATCGGTTATACCTGCACTAAATAATAAAAATTCGTTATTACAAGGTTCATCTATGATTGTATTTATCTAGTTTTGGCTGGAACCATAAACCGTATACGTTATAACATCATTCATTATGATGAAATTTTCATGCGCATAAAGAGTCAGCACTCAGCAGAGCATTAATCACTTCCGGTTCCAATAATTTCGCTTCCATTTATATTCAGTTATCATAACTTGATACTATACAGTAGTTCGGTTTTTTGCCATTTCCAGCAACATCTTAGTCACTTTGTGTAACCAAATGCTTGAAAATTTGAAATGTTGCGAGTCATTGCTTCATTCAAAAGAAGTTTAAATGTTGCAATGCACTGCTGGTAACTCGGAGACCCACTTTTTTAGTTTTTTAAACATTGAGAAAATCTTAATTTCCAGCGAGGAATATTTTCGGATTTGGACGAAATCCAGACAAAAATTTGATTGATTAATCTACATCACTTTTCAATCAACATCACGTGAAATAGAATGAAATATTCGACTTCCTGTGGAAATAAGATTACTGATGTGTACCGCATCAGGGACCCCTAGAGGTCGCCCAAATCTACAAACACACAATAACACGCCATGGACACGAAAATGGAATAACACAATTCCAAGATTTCCAACACAGACCTACTGACCATGAAAACCTGCACCAAAAACTGGATTTCTTCTTCCTGCCCAAAAAGCAACATTACCGAAGAAACTTCCCTTCATCTTGAGCCCTTCGCCACAGAAACTTCTCTGCTGTTAACCATGAAAAAGAGAAAATCATCCAGTCAATATCTGTGTGAAATTAAAAAATAGTTCCTGGAGACTTGGTCTCAGCCGCGAACGGCCTATCCTGCATTACCTTTTTTTTGTGAAATTTATTTGTCTTAGACCTAAGGGTCTCTGACATACTGTTCTGAGGAATTGCCCAGAATATCTGGAATTTACGAGGTGATTACACGACCCTTATACCCCTCATTCAGCTGGAACCGACAAAATTAGCCATCCATGCTAAAGTTTGCGTACATTCACAATCACGCATTCAAATCCTATTGCAAAAGACCTTCCAACCACATCTTTCAGCTTTTGGAAAACACCTTCAATTTTTTTATGATTTTGCTCATTAAAAGAAAGATTGACATTTTTCTAAATTATAAGATATAGAAAATAAATGTGCAGGAAAAAAACCACACCGAAACTGATCTTTTGGCATAGAAACGAGCTCAAAAGGAAAATAACACGCACAAGTCTCGCTGTAATCTGCACAGATGATTATGAGATAAACTCAACAAAAAGTGGGCCTCTTCGGGATAATGAATTTGAGTAAATTTGGAATAATTTTATTTTATTTTGGGAATGCAGGATAAATCGCTGAATTTTTTCAAAAGATATTAACTTTTAAACATTTTTTAAAATGTTCCATCGTATTAGAAATTTTGGTGGTGCCTGTATTCCCAGACATTCTCCGGATGTTCGTTCCGAATTTTTGACCTTAAAGTGTCCGTAAGTCGAATTGTCAGTAAATCCTTGCGTCCTTATTTCGGAGTCCTACCACGCACGCATATTTTTTTCAGTAAACCCTGTAGATATTACAGTGCAGCATATCTGAAAATTATACTTTCTTCAGCAGTGTGCCAAACACTCATCATAAAACAATGTTTATTTTCGATCAGCCCTTTGGAGCTCTTCAAGGCAGATCAACCAACATATACAGTGCGTCGATCAGAAGAAAATTATGCATGACTGCGTCAGGAACTATTTCTATAAAAGACAGCGCTTTCTGCGAAGCTATTATTCTGCCATCGCTTTCAATGCCGACACCAAAAAATACACTCTACAGTACAGTATAAGAAGAATGAATTTTTAAAAAGCTTGACGTTAAGCCCGAAAATCCCCGTCGGACGATTGGGCCTTTGAATAGAGGCGATGCAGTGACGCAGAAATACGCAGAGATGATGGATTGTCGTGACAAGAGTGGCTGGGTTTTTATATGCAGAAATATTCATGAGTTCAGCGCTGTAAAGTGCGCTTGGTCTATCTCCCCGCTTTTAATCCGGTTTCGCCCGCTCAACCCCAGTTCAAAACGTCGACCAGAAAGCGGCTCAGCAGAATGCCTGTACATCCAAATTATATTTTTCTGTTTTTTCCCCCATTCAGTACTTTATTAGTCAAGCAAGCCGAGGAAAAAGACCAGGCCCACTTCCGACTGGACATGCGAAATGATTTTTTAAGCGATATGGAAGAGGGCTCGCGGATCAATATGTCTCTAAACTTTCAAAATTCAGTACCGCGCGTGACTGGCATGGCACACTCTGGAAAACTGTGGCATCATCCTGAAAGAATGCTTGTAAAATGTGTTCTAGAAGTACAGCATTTTACTTCTTTGTAAAAATTTGAGAATCCAAATAAAAGCAACACCCCCAGGTAAGGGCACCATTAGCCTATGGATAGTTACTACTGTGCTTACCTAACTAAATGCTCTTCACTTCAAATCTTTAGAATTCAATTCAAAGTCCAAGAAGATTAACAAGGCACACACATATATATATATATATATATATATATATATATATATATATATATATATTTATATATATATA